GGCTGGTTTTAGGTGCCCGGACGATGCAGGGGCTGGGCGAAGCTCGTGTTCGGAGCTCGCCGCTCTGTGCCACTTTGGAGGAGCGGTGGGGGTCCATGGCGAGGGACATGCTGTCGGGGACTGTCACCCTCGAGGCGGGGAGAGCGCTGGCTGTGCTGCCCTTGTCCCTTCTCTCACCTAATCCTTGTTCCTAGCAGTAAGTATCCCGCTCACTTTTTTTTGGGCCCATTGCTCTTCGCCTGCTGCTCTGACCGTCTTGAGAGAACAGGGAAAACCTTGCTTTGTGTGCAAGAAAAAAGCAATTCATTTTGCGCTGGTTGGATTAGTGAATTTGGGGTTTTAGTGAATTTGGGGTTTCAGTGAATTTGAGTTTTAAACCCATGCAGCTCTGCTCAGCCCGGGGTGGGAAAGACCCAGGAAAAGTCTTTAGACGAGCAGAAAGAAGAGGGGAGGAGGGGTGTTTGCCTTTGGCATCCTTCGCTAGTGTTGCCCCTCTGCTGCCTGCTGATTTGCAAGGCTGAGTGGCAGACGTCACCGTGTCACCAGGCTAAAGCTGCCTGATGCCCAGGCTGTGTTCGCTGTGTGAAAGGATCTTTGGAAATGATGTTAGGAGACGAAAAACTCCCGTGTTTCATGAAAAGTACCCAAAAAAAACCCCTCACTCCTGCAGCCATTGCCCCAGTACCGCAGCTCGCTGCCAAACCTGGTGTTGCATGGCAGAGGGCAGGGTGCAACATTAACAGCGTCCGTTAATGCTTAACATGGAAAGAATGAGAATATTTTTGAAAAGGAAATAGGTTTTCTCCATGTGAAACAAGCGTTTCTATATGAAACCTCTCCCAAAACGGAGATAAGAGCTTTCACCAGGCGGGTGGGGGCCGTTTGCAGGTTCCTGCTGGAAGAGAGGGTGGGAAGGTATCATCCCCCTTCCTGGGCTTGGGAATCGGTACCTGGTGGTTGCCCCCACACACGTGTGGTTGCACACACACACACCCATACCCCCCCTGTGCGTGCACACGCACGATCTGTGGACGAAGCCCTGGCCCCCGTCTCCCCGCAGGCTCCCCGCTGGCTGGGCGGCGCGGGGCGGCCAGCCCGACCGGCAGCGCAAGAGCGAGGAGCTGACGGACGAGGAGAAGGAAATCATCAACCGAGTCATCGCCCGGGCCGAGAAGATGGAGGAGATGGAGCAGGAGCGCATCGGGTAAGGCGGCGGTGGTGGCACCAGCACCGCGGCGGTGGTGGGACGGGAGGGACCCCGCGCCTTGCCAGTGCCCGCGGCGGGAAGGAGCTCGCTTGGCTGCTTTCCTGGCCAGCAGCTACTGCACTGCAGTGTTTCTCCTGAAAGGGAGCCTGCGGGGGATCTTTTTGAGCTGGCGTTGGTCCTTGGCCAGGAGGAACCTGTAAGCAGGGGAGGGAGCTGCTCTGTGTGCTGCTGTGCTCTGGACCGAGAATTTATCGCCTCATCAATTTTTATTTTATTTTTTTATTTTTAATTGAGTTTTTTTTGGTCCAAAAGGGATCATTAATAACGTCTCATTTCAGGGAGTGAAGGTGCTTGCCCAGTCCTGAGCCCAAGCAGCCATGAGTGAGGGCAAAGCCACGGCTCGCCCAAAGGCGTTTTGTTTTGGGAACACGGATGGATCCATCACCCCCTCCAGCCGCGTGTCCCGGTGGTGGTTCATCCCTCTTGCCGCCCAGAAATGAGCTGTCGGTGAAGCTGAATAGGTCTGAGGGATGCCCAGCCTCGGGGCTGGCCACGTGTTGGGACCAGCTCCTGGGGGGGCTGGCGCTGCCCCCACTTTGTCCATAGCGGGGTGCCCACGGTCACTGGTGGGTGCTGGGAGGGCATCCCTGGTGCCAATGCACCCGGCATGGAGCAGAGGACAAGAAGTGCCCGTGTTTGCTTTTACTGCATCTCTCCCTGGCCTGGGCAAAGGTGCCAGGCGAAATAATGCTGATAATTAGGTATCGACTGGCTCTGCTGGGGATGATTTTCTGGAGGGGATCTCCATAATCCTGTTTGTCAGGCGTCATGCCTTTTTTCATTACAGAGGAGCATTTTATTCTTCCTCAGCTTAAGCATCGACTGCTGCTTTTTTTTTTTTTCTTTTCTCCTTCCTTGCAGGGAAAATACTCAGGCCTGGGCAGGAACCGTGCTCTCCGCTGCCTTGGAGAGCATCAAAGCCCCTCTTGTAGCTCAGGGACAGTTTTGCTCAGCAAATGGGCACGTGTTGCTGCAGGGCAGCTGCTTGGTGACACACGGAGAGGACCCCCCTGTGCCCACAGAGCCTCGCGCCGCAGCCGGAGCTTTAATCCTTCACCCCGGCTGCTTAATAACCCTTAGATATTGAGCGTGCGTTTGCCACGCCGGCACGGGGTGCTCCAGCTGCAGCACACAGTCTTCCTCGGTGGCTGCAGCCCGTGGCCTCCCAAGTGGTGGATTTATTGACTCATTTTTAGGAATATTTGGTTAGGAGCGGGTCTGTGGACAGCTGGAGCGTATTGCCTCGGCAGCCTGGCCTTGGCGTGCGCCCCACGGACGTGCGGCTCCCCGGCTGGCATTGCCTCGCGTTACAGCTTTCTGGCAGAAACCAGGTGAAAGTAGCTATGAATGGTGGTGATTCATTCCTAAAAAAGTGCTTACCAACAGCATTTCCCCAGCTTTGCCCGTTTGCAGCCCGGTAAGAATTACTCTCAAAGGCGATGCTCTTTGGATTATGCTTAAATCAACTTCAGCAGCGGGGGAAAGATTTGCTTTATTTTATTTATTTATTTTTTTTTCCCATCGTGCGTTCCTGCAGCTGCTTGCAAACCTGCAGAAACTCTCCCTTTTGCCTCCGTTAGCCGAGTCGGAGGAGTGATTCTCAACCTCATTCATGAAAAAGCTGGGCGGAGGACTTTGTGCCGTGCTCGGAGTAGAGCAGGGGAAGGCTGGCGGATGTGCAGTCGCAGCTGATTTGCCTCCTGCGTGTAGGCGTAGCAGGAGCCTTGCCAGCTCCTTTGTGTTTGTTGGCTTGCACAACAAGAGCTGTAGGATGTGCAGCTACAGAAATATGGGACAGCGTCTATATCAGTCTCGTACAGAATCACCCATTCAGGAGCTGCTCGGATGTTATCCAGAATAGCTCCTTATATTACAAAATAATCCGGGTTTGCCAGGCTGGCCTCTGGCAGGGATGCAGCAGTTGTGACAGTGTCCCTCGATTGGACAGGCTGCTCTAGGGAGGTGCTGCTGGAAAGCCTGCTTTTCTGTGGTTTTCTATTCCTGTAAGGGGGAAGAAAAGAGGAAAATCTGTTAAAAACCTGGTTTTGGTTAATATAAGGAACAGCTTACATGAAGTGAATGCTCCTTCCAAAAGAGGAACATGTGGTAAATACTTGGAGTTGCCTTCCTAAGTGTTTGAGGGGGTGTGCTGGAGCTTTCCACTCAATACTGGAGCGATCATGAGGTCTACAGCCAGGTGCTGGCTGCAGGGGAAATGCCTTGAAGTCCCTCCTGCTTTAGTGCCACCCTTCTCCTGCCCTCTTGTGTCCCCTCTCTTGTATCTGCCGCCCCACGAGCCCCTTGCCTCGGCTGGTCGGGGCAGGGTGGGAACAGATCGATGCTGCTCGTTGAGACGATGTTTGTGGCATCGGACTTTGTGTCAAACCCAGCTCGAATTAATCTAGTGAAAGGGTATTTTTAGCACGGGGGGTGGATGGAGGCCCGCGGGGTACGTGATCTGGATGCTGATGAGGATTGTAGGACAGGGACACTTTGGTGTGTGGTGGTTTTTTTTTGGCTGGGTCATTGTCTCATAGCACAGAGAAGGATAATAGGAGCTGAAATCATCTTAAACAGCGATACAGCGGGAGCGCGCCGGGTGTGAGTCGGTGAAGGACTTTACAACGGCCTGGGGATCGGGATAATCCTCTGGGCCAGTTTAGAGGCACAGGGGCTGAAAGGCTGAAAGCCAGTGGGCAGAGAGATGGGAGGGCAAAGCAGATCCATTCTCATCCCTTCTCCCTCCCTGCTTGGCCTGGGCTTGTGCACCGGGAGGGTCTGTGCAGCAGCTCTGTGCCCTCTCCAGCAGCGGTGGTGATGCTCCAGCTGCGGTCCATGAGGAGCCTGTTCCTGAAGGTGATGTGGCAGCACCTGCAGGCTCTAATTGGCTCTGTTCTGCACCTATAATTGGGTGCCATCAATAACCCACCGAGCCTGCTCCGCTGCCTAATGAGGTCCATCATGCTCTTGGCATCAGAGAAAATATCTTAAACCATCCAAAGTTAGAAATTGCTGCTTCTGGAGGGCGCCCTCTGGCACAGAGAACCGGTTCCCAGGGGTGACATGACACATCGCTTCTGGATCTGGCCATACCCCTGCCTGGGAGCAGCTATTCCCTTCCCTCTGGTCCCCTCTAAAAGCGCAATGGTTTGACTGTCTCTCTCCGTGGGTCACAGCCTCTCACCTTTCCTCCAAGAGGACCAGCTATTAAGCAGGATCGCATTTTAATTTGGCTGCTTATTGCTGGGATGACACATGCGTAATGCTGGAGCAGATGGCTGAAGTCACAGGGGATTAAGTCATTAACCTCGGTGGCCGGCAGCAGGGATGCTCTCTGGGACCACAGTCTCGTATATTCTTCCTCATGTTCAGACAACACAAAAATAAAAATAGGGGCCAGGAAAGGGCAGGGTAGTTGCTGGAGGCAGAGAGAAACGTCTCCTGAGATGCCAGCTTCTAGAAGAGATGAGGTTAATTCATTGCCAGAAGACAGCTCATGCGCTTCTTGAATTTCTGTGGGGTTTTGTTTGGTTTCCCCCCCTTAAAAAAAAACACCCAACAACCTCCTTTCTTATTTCTGAGGCTGGGCTGAGCCTGCAAAATAACAGCCCTGCTGTAACACATCACGGGAGGTAGCAAGCACCTGGAGTGAGGCACTAGCATGAAACGGGATGCTTCGAAATGCATGGCTCCTCCTGGCCTCCTTGGGCATCTTCCCTCCATAGTGAGGGCTTTCAGCGGGGGATGAGCTTTGAAAGTCAACCTGGAACAGCTGAAAGGATGTATTACCTTTAGTTACCTGTGCACTTGTAAGGGAAGAAAATTGCTTCTAATTTTTCATCCTGATTTTAATTATGTTTTCTTTAATCTGTAGCTTGGCTTCTTTTCTTGTCTCTTTTTGTACCATTAAAATTAGCCTTCGTTTAATATTCAGCCCTTTAAGGCACACGATTTCCCCATGGAGGCAAGTCAGTGCTTAATTCTGGAGGCACTTTGTGACCTCCTTTGTTTTTTACTTGAATTTCTTTTTGCCACATAAGCGGTGGCCGAGTCTGTTCCTGCATGGGGCTGGAGCGCCCGGCTCGCAGTGCCCCGGATCAGGTCCTTCCTCCCAGGTCAGGTCCTTCTCCCGCCCCCCATCCCACAGTTCATGCCTGCTGCATTAAATGTCCTCCCCAATGCGATTTAAAACCCATTAGGCACATCTTTAGCCATTCATTTCTGCGGAGTGGCAATGAATATTTAAATACAACGAACACTTGCGTGCCTGCCCCGTTGTTAAGGCTTGTTTCCCCGAGATCATCACCACTTAATGCCGGGGACTCGCTGTCCCTCTCCGGATTGCTCTGGTCCTACCGCAAGAGAAAATAGCGATGCCGTGGCGCTGCAGGTTTCTCTCCCACCTAGGATTCAGCCCAGCCCAGCGAGCACCCTTCGCTGTGTCCCCGTGGGACCCTCTGCCTGCCCGAAATCACGGGAGACGCTTTCAGGTCTTCCTGCAGACACGAGCCCTTCCCCTGCCTGCGCTGGGGCTCTCGGGTGCGGGCAGGGGAGGTCTCCCACTAGCCCTTGCTGCCCTGGGGCTGCTCGCCGTTCCCTTCCAAACCATATTTCTGGGGCCAGGCAGATGTTATATTCTCAGGGGACTGTTTTATCGCTGTTATCTCAGGCGCATGTTAAGCATTTCAGATAGAGCGCATCGCCCGGTCCTTCTATCTTGCTCCCATCAGTGACTAATGGGTGTTTCTCTGGCAGATGATGGATGCTCTCCCTCTCTGCAGGGCTGGCTCTGGGGGTGGTGATGCTCCCGGGTGCTGGGCTTAGCCAGCTCCCTGTCACCGGCTTCAATTACTCCTCTCTCGGTTTGGTTCCCCCCCCTCCCCCCATTTTAACAATTTGAAGCATATTTCCTGCTCTTTGAAGTAAGTCTCGCAGAGGGATGGGCGCTTTGAAACGCGCATAATGGTAAGGAAGGTGTTGCTGTAGTCCCAGAGACGTGCGAGGCAGAGTGATGAACTGGATGGCTATTTTACGTGCAATAAAAATGAGGAACAGATGGTATCTAGGGGAGAGGGAGAGAAAAGCTTTCGGGAAGACAGAAAGCTTGTTCCTGGCTGGTACCTGGGCAAGAGCAGGGCACCCCTCTGGTTATCAGGGGGAGAACAGCACGTGAGTGGGGCTCTGGCGTGTGTGGAGGGTGGTGCTGGATGGAATCGAAGAGAAACCTGGGCTTTTTGCTCCCGTTTGTCACCTTAATTAGGAGCTTCCCAGCCCAGGGGTCTTGGTGCAATACTCCCTTTCCCAAGTCCTGCCCTCCTTCTTCCAGGTTCACACCAGGACTTAAAAATTTAGCTTTTTATGCAGTCCCCTCACAGCAGCGTTTGAACCAGGAAAAAAGGCCCAACTTATCTGGCTTGAATGGATGTTTTAATTAGGCAAATGTGCTTCGTTTGAAACCGGTGCCACAGGTGTGTGTACTGACTGCTGAAGCTCTTCCACTGGTTAAAAAAAAACCTCTTAAGGAGCCGCTTCTGGTAAATGAGAGACTGGAAACAATTTTGCAGCGAAATAATGAATCTCTTGAAATGCAAAGGCTTTTTTTTTTTCTTTGATTGTGCCATTTGTTCTAGTTTCTATAATAAGTTTGTTTGGGCTTGCAGATTTCCAACTGGAAGCTGCTTCTCTTGGAGCAGAGCTCTTGCAGCACAGCGGGGGGAGATTGCAGAAGATACAGGGCTTGTACATTTGCTTTGCTGCTCGGAAAAGAAAGGTTTTGCCCCAAAAATGTTTTCCCTGTTGAGGTGGGAGCAATGTGCTGCGACAGAAGCTGGATGTTATCAGTTATTTGCTGTTGGGGGCACTTCATGGGGACCTTGTGTTGCCTGTGGTGGGACGTGGGCTGGGAACAGCCTTGGTGTGATTCATTTAATTGAAGTAAGAAATGTTTGGGGAACAGCCAGTTTCCAGGTTTTAATTGGAACAGTGCTCGTTGCTGGCTGGGTGTTTATGGCGTGATGCAGCTCTCTTGAAATCACTGGGACCTCCGTGTTTGCAGCAGGGTGGGCGAAGGCACTGGGGGCGGGTGGTGGCTCTAGCAGCTGACTTATTCTGTAGGAAGAAATCACCTATGGATCATCTGCCAAGCAGTACGCAGATGCTGAAGGGCAGGGATAGACAGCCGCATCTCTCTGGAATAACACCGGAGCAGGGAGTTCGGCTAGGAATGAGTTAGTTTGGCTAGTTGCCCGTTAAGAGTGAGGTAGAGAGGGGCTAAAGCACCTCGTTGTGGTCTGAGGATGTTGTTTTTCAACAAAAGGATGAGAACCAGAATTCCTCTGTGTAGAGAGCCCGTGGTCACGTCACTGCCGAAACTTCAGGCATGAAGACTGCAGGAACTCGCAAGCTCACCCATCTGCTGTCTGGTGACACCGTAGCTGTGAAAACAGAGAATTCTCCCGACTGCTGGCTCCGCTGGCTGACCAGTCCCAGCCCAGCTTTTCTGTCTCCTCACTGGGAAGGGGCTGCAGGTTCGTTGAAAACCACCAGGAGGCACCTCCACGGCCCTGAGCGTGCTCCAGCCCAGGGAGATCAGCCCCTGCGTGGGGAGGAGTGGGAAAAACTCCAGTGGGTTTTAGCACGGCCGATGTCTTCCACCTAAACGAGACGATGTAATCACGTGGCTTTGGTCAGATAACGTACGCTGAGTCGTGGAGCCACGTCCCCGCTTGGGGCTTGACGTGGTGGCTGATGAAGTGCTTCAAGATGCTCCCATCGACTGCAGCGGCTTTCCAACGGGGCACTTTATGAGCTGTAATAGGTTGTGTGTTCCACAATGCTTTATTTCCCCCCCCCGTTCTTGCTGCTATTCCTTTCTCAAGCCCCCACGTACAATAACGCCGTCGCCTTCCCACGTGCAGCCCACGGGACGCTGGCTGTCCTGCGGGTGGCTGGAGACCAACCGCAGAGGCACCCCATGGAGAGAGGAGCTCGTATATTATTTAGGAACGATTCAGAGGTGCTGGCAGGCGAGCTGCCATAAATCTGAGGCTGTCATCAGACATGTGGGGCAACGTCTTTTAAACATCGGGCGTTTTTTACGGCACGCCGCGTCAGCGGCTTTGTCAGATTCGGGTCAGGCTGCCACGGGAGCGGGTGGCAGCCCCGCGGGCGAGGGGGGCTGCTGCTGTCTCCGGTGGGCTTGGATCTCCTCCTCCCTTTCTTCATTCCTTCTCCTTCCTCGCTGAATGGCGTAAATAATGCATCTTTTTTCCCTTCTCGTGCTATTTTTAGGGCCAGGATTCTGGGTTAACTGAGTGTACAACTCGCTGCCAGCTCTCAGGTGCTCGGCAGGGCTCGCTCCTGTTTTCCAAACTGCTTTTGCCAATACTGTTGGTTTTTGGTTGGTTTTTTTTTTTTCAGAAGTTGCTTAACTGTTTTGTCTTTTTTTTTTTTTTTTTTTTTTTTTTTTTTTTCCCAGAAGTTGCTTAACTGTTTTGTTTTTTTGTTTTTTTGTTTTTTACTTTTGCAGTAAACAGATGTGTTTTTATAGCCTGTTCTCCAGTGGACTTTTTGCATTTTACTCAAAAGGGCTAGGAATTTCCATAAAGTAAGTCATAAGCAATTTTTTTCTTAGAAAACGAGAAAACTAGTTAATTCACTCAGTCCTCCTACCAGCGCCCTTCCAAGATCTCCTCTCGCAGCACTTCCATGGGCAGTTGCTGGGACTGGGGGGGGGGAAATGCTGCTTCACTGATGCCAAACCGCTTTGTGCAAAGGTGCAGGGATGGATTTTAAGCATGTGTATGTGGGAGCTGGGGCCAGTATCCGCTCTGTGTCCGTGGAAGTTAATAGTCGTGCGATATAAAGCTATAGGGGAATATAACACTGCGACACGTCCCCTGCGATGTGTCTTTTCCCCTGGTTGCACTCCCGTAGCTGGAAGAGGAGAGGTTCTGCTGGAAGCTGCACCAGGAAAAGGAGCGGCTGGACCAAAGGCAGCAGCCACCCCTTGGGAGCGGGACCCCCGCATCCCAGCCCTGCCATGCCTTTCCTGACAGCCCCTGTCCCCTTTCTACCAGGCGACTCATGACCCGGCTGGAGGACATGCGCCGGAGCGTGCTGGGGGACGGGGTGAACCGCTGCATCCTCTGCGGGGAGCAGCTGGGGCCGCGGGGATCTGCCTGTGTCGTCTGTGAGGACTGCAAGAAGGTGAGGCATCTCCCTGCTACCCTCTGGACCCATGCAGTGTCGTCGTGTCCCCCCGGTGCAAAAATGGGTGCCTGGGTCTTTTGGAGTGTGTTTTCATTGACCAGCAGCCCTCCACGCGTGGTACAAGGGACCATCCCCAGGGGTTTCTGCAATCACGGGTGTGAGAGCTCTCCTTAACCAGCTTTCATTAACCTCGCCCTCCCCAGGGGTGGCACTGGGTGTGGTGGGACCTTTTGGTGGCTGCAGGGTCCCCGCTGCCACCCGGCGCTTTGCTTTCTCCGCAGAACGTCTGCACCAAGTGCGGGGTGGAGACCACCAACAGCCGGCCCCACGCCATCTGGCTCTGCAAGATCTGCAGCGAGCAGCGGGAGGTGAGCGGTGTTATTTGTGCTGGAGTCGGGGCACAGTCCCTGCTCTTGGTGTTACCCTCTGCACTGTCCCCACTCTGGACCTCTCAGACAGGACCAGCTTCAGACTGGGGGATGCTCCCAGGGACTTTCAGCCCGTCCCCCAGCACCGTTAAACCTTACCCAGCTGCTTGAGTCTGGTTCTTAGAGGATGATCTTGTTTCTGGATAAAATGCCATTATTTTTTTTTCTTGAAAACAAAGTCTTGGGGCTGAAGAGGCTGTTGTGGCCAGAGACTGGCTCCCTGCCACCTACAGTGAGCAGAAGGGTTAATTAATTAGCAGAATGGGCAGCGGGGTGCAGGGCTGTACGTCCTCTGTGCGTGATGCAGGGGGGTGAAGACTTCCAGGTCTGCACCCAGCATCCCCCTGAGATGTGGGTGCCACCCCTCTGCCTGCACCCCCCAGGTGTGGAAGCGCTCCGGTGCCTGGTTCTTCAAGGGTTTGCCCAAGCAAGTGCTGCC